TATAAAACCCAACGCAAAACCTGGGGTTCATAATTATATGTATATATATATATATATATAATTTTTTTTTTTCTTCCTAGGTCTAAGTATGCAGAAGTACTGTAGATATAAAGTTCCAAAAGCAGTAAAATGTTGAGTGATTTCAAATACTGATAAATACTATGATTTCACAGAATCTGTTAAATCACAGTATTTCTAAAAGTTAAAAAAAAATATCAATCCCAAAAGTCATAGCAGGGGTGTCCTGAATGAGCTGAATGTTTTGATACTTTAGTTACTGGAATAGCTTAGAAACTGTAGGTTAATGTGTATAAAGGTACAGAAGACACTTGAACAGGACCTCATTGGTGTGATTGCTTAATAAGCATTCACACAATAAAAGCTCTGCACATCTTTCTATTGAAGGCTTGTCATTGTTCAGCATTTAGTTACACTAAGGAGCATGTCGGTCATAAATCTTCATTACTATGGTTAGAGTCCAACAAGTGCATTTATTTTTTACAGAGAAATGATGAAGTGAACCCAGAATAAGCAGTTTTTATTAATCAAGGTCCAAGGCCTGTGATGTTTGCACAAGTTTGAACTACGCCTGGATGGAGTCATTTTGAAGGTGTGTGTCTGTGAACTGGTTTTTAGCTGCCGATTGTGGGAGCTTGAGAAGTGCAAGCCCGTCCCCTGCTGGATCAGAGGTGCACAGGATCCAGTGGTTGTTGTCCTGTTCCGCTTTGTGGGAGTCCAAGAATGTCTGAGCCGTCACCTCGTACTCTTTGCCATACGTGTTCCTGCAGGAACACAAATGTTACACACTGCTCAGCAACAGCCTGAATCATGAACAGCTATTAATATATGTGACATGAAATAATATTTGTAATGGTCTGATCATGTGTGCTATCTGGAAACATTTACAACCTTTAGGAATAGCAGATTTGTCACATTACATGACAGACAGCCATACAGTTTACTTTTGTACTCGTCTCTCTTCTTATCTAAAGCACACTTGTCTTTTTTCTTATTTTGTGTAAGAACACCATCAACCTGCAATAAAACTATATCCTTCAATGTGAGGAACTCCTTCCCTTCAGCTTCTTTGGGTCATATCTCTGTTGATTGATTTCATTGCCAAACTGCATAAGATAGAAGACAAATTTAAAGTTTGATCCAAAATCCTCTTCTAGAAAATTCTCTAAACGATACGTCCGGCCTGTTTGTCACTCAGCAGCTGACATAAGACAGCAATTCATAGACATTACAGTGAATCAAAGCAACAAAATTTCCTGTAAAATTTGAAGGAATTTAATAATAATTTAAAAAAATACCAAAAAACTTGATTTTCCAGAACAGCAAGAGCTTGGTTTGTCTTGCAGTGTTTGATCAGGACCTTCACATTAGCCTATAAAACAGTTAATAAAGGTTAATGGAAGCACTGCATGTTACAGAATGTGTTCAGTTGTCAGTAAATGTATTTAATCATATTAGTGTGAAGACTTACAGGAACTGGCAGACCCTCGTATTCAAGTCTCTCCTGGGGGTCAAAGTGCACCATCTTCCACCACGACAGAAAGCAATCGCTCTTATCCAGGTAAACTTCTTGGAGACGAGACATCTTTGCACACTTTAAATTCAATCACAGTAATGACAGTAGTAGAAGTATTGACCCTGGGGATTCTTAAAAATGAACAAAATGAAAATGTGCTGTACCTTCTGGAAACTTTTCAGATCACTTGTCAGGTAAAGCTGATGGGAACACACCAACAAGTAAACAATGTAAACAACAGAGGAGTGACAACGAAACACAAAAACCTTTACAGTTCAGGCTGGAAGTTTGTGCTCATTTTGAATCAACATCATGCTTTCATTCATTTTTTAAATATTAGTTTTTTTTCTGGATGGGTGGTTAGTTTGAGATATATGTAGACATTTAACACCAACATTAATATTACTAAAAAATGTGGTGCACAAGTTCAAACTTATCCTGGATGTTTTTCTCAAATCAGCTCGAGCAAAAGGACATATAGAAGCTTGAAAATATAAAAATGATTATGGTCCTGATAGTGATAAACATGTGGTTTTACTTGGCAGTGACAGTATTATGAATAATGGATGGCTGTACTTAATCAATGCATAATCCAAATGAAATATATAAAAAAAACATCTGTGGTTGTAAACTTTCAAACTTAATTACATTCTTTATAACTACTGCTAAACTAAACAGGTCAAAGTCTATAAGTTTATCGTTAAGAAATTATACAGTTATAGAAACATTACATGAGTCTGTAAAACAAATTATTTACACTCGTCTCTGAGTATGATTTAGTTTCACTGTTTCTATCCAGTAGGTGTTGCAAACAATAAACTCACTGCAGCTGATTTCAAGAGTAATTTTGACCATTTTGCACTTCAAGTGCAAATAAATAAAATAAAAATCAAACTACAGTCACGTTGCACATTACTTTTAGTGAGTAAAGTAGCTTTTTATTCCATTAAACTACAAGATTCCTTCTAATGTGAGAGAGGAGCTGCAGCTGTGGATATCTGGTGGTAAAACCTATACAAGAACACAACTAAACACGATTCAACAAAAAAAATACAAATAATCTAAATTCACAGGTCAGAAACAGAAAGCCAAACAAAGTGATCTAAAACGCTCAACAAAACATCAGAATAACTCAGACTGTATAACATAAAACTTATATTTGAAAGGATCATATCTGAAAGTTTTTTTTTTTTTTTACTGTATTCAAAAACAAGCTACTTAATGAAAGTTAATCAGTTATTTTTTGGGGGGAATTCACCATGTCCTGTATAATTAATTTTCGGTACTATCATTACATTGATTTTTATTTTTTCCATTCAATTGCTCCCATTGATTTTTATCGTGAAGCACTTTGGTAACAGCTGCTGTTTTAAACGTGATTTATAAATAAAGTTGACTTGACATGTCCTGGATGAGACTGAGAATCTACACCAGCAAAAAGTCTCAATTTCAAATATAATCTTCAGACTGGATAATTGAGCATATTTGTCAATGTCAATTTATTTATACAGCACATAAAAACAACAAAAGCTGACCAAAGTGCTTTACAGTTAAGACAGATATAAAAAGAGTAAATGCATCTAGTGCCACTCAAAAACATAAGAAAGTTAACAATAAATACAACACACAACAACAATAAAAATCAGCTCACAATTTGTTCTCAGACTCTGCGTGGATCAAATACCAAGAAATGCAGACGAGTCTTAAACAAAGATTTAAACGTCTCAACAGTCTGAGCGGGCTTTAAATTCTCAGGTAAACTGTTCCGAAGTTTTGGAGCAGCAACCACAAAAGCCCGATCACCTCTGGACTGCAGTTTGGATCTAGAGACATAAGAGGAACTGGTTGGTAGACCGGAGTGCTCCTACTGGAGTGTAGATGTTAATAAGACCACATATTTAATATACATAAACTGTGCACAAACATGGAGTCACTCTAAATCCTTGTACAACACCTGGTAAAGGTTGAACCGGCCGAGTGAACTGCATCATGATCATAGCTGGGGGGATGTGTTTTAGTTGGAAGGTGTGTAAAATTTACATAAAATAAACAATATCATAATACCAAATATATGCAACAAAATAGTTGTGGTACATGTTTTAATTGAACAATATTGATTATTTAGGCTTCTGTCTCCAGTAGGAGGTTGCCACAACAAGCAAACTTGCAGATTTGTCAATTATTTCTTAACCGCCAAACACCCTTCCTGACACAACCTGGGCTCAAACCGGCAGCCTGAGGATCACAAGACCACGGCACTGACCACCGAGCTATGGTGGCCTCGTTGTTTTAACTGAATACGGACATGGAAATTATGCTGTCATATTTTTAATGTTACATTAATGACTTGATGCTAATATGCTCACTTTTGCGGTTGCTGAATATTGCACACAGATAAACAATAACTGCTGGTTTATGCATCTGATTAATCGATCTCAATAAAACCAATTATAAAATATGAGTTGATTAATTGTCTATTATCATTACTGTATGAAAGTGAACTTACTCCTCTGGCGAAGCCACTTGTTGTTTTCAGAGCAAAATTTTGCTCAAAGTGCAGAGTCGCTCCTTCAGGACTGCTATCAACACTGTGCCACAGGGACAGTGTTACACACTGACAGAAGGGCGTTGGCGATCATGATGTCATTTTGACGCTGCGTACCTGGTGATGATGAAAGCAGTGCGTGTGCAGGGTTGAATACTGCTTCCTGCGCTGACTTGACAGGGAGCTTGAATACCCAGAGACGGGACATTCGTCAAACTGTGGATGTCACAGTTAATGCTGACAACGCTGCACTCCCCGTGTTCTCCTCCCATGTTCACCAGCATCACAACATCCCCAAAGTGCAGATTTCCATCGTTTGTCACAGAAAGGTTCACCTACACATGTGGACAAACATTCCTTTTAGTACAGTTATCACTGTCATTGTTAGTGCTTTAAAATGTGTTTTAAATGAGCTGAAACTCGTGTTACCGGCTGTAAAATGTTCTGTTTGAGGAGGTCTACTTTCTGAGCAACAAGTTCACCTTTCTCCTTTTTCTCCAAATACTCTTTCATTTTAGTCTGGAAAAAAGAATTACAAATTATTTTTTCCTTCCTTCCTTATTTTTATCTCATTGAATGTGGACTACAATAAAAAAAAACGCCATCATATTTAGGAAAAAAATTAATAGTACAAACATGTTTGTAAAACAAAGCTAAATCCTAGTACAGTAAATTAGATTTACTTGCTGGTATTTAAAGTTCTTTATTCAACAAATTTCAAGCAAATATGTCAAAGCCTTTTATATAACAAGTAGATACTTTATATCTTTTTATATACCGGTAGTTAGAATAACAATAAACAACAAAAAAGTTAATTTTATCTTATTAAAAGAGCAAATGCATTTGTAATTTACTACTGTGAATATTGTGAGTACTGTGTGTACATTATGTGCAATGCTTTTTCTTTAAAGTAATCTTTATCACTTAAAAAAAAAATCAGCAAATCAATACCATTGGGTAATTAGTTATCGTTACACAAGATAAACTAATTATTTAAAAAAATCATTTAATGTAAATAGAGTTAGGAGAATAATCCATTATAACTTAATGCAATAAAGAAACCTCTTAGTGGAGATTTATTGTTGGGGCCTGCCAATACAAACATATATGAAACAGAGGAGTGTATTGCAAAACATAAAAGTAAATTATACAAATTAAATTATATAAATACAGTAATTTTGTAACGTTATTTATTTTTTTTTTTTACTGTAATGTACTAAACTACTAAGTGATCTGAATGTTTTCAGACTGGTTTATCTAAATGTAATAAAATGAGGGCTGTGCAAAATGATATCTGAAATATTCAACTGTATAAGCATTTTATTCAGCCAAGACACAGCAGATTTTATAAGATGTACTGTATTAAAATTTAGGATAACACATATTTACAAAGCATAAAATAAAATAAAAATGTTTTTGAAGAATTGCTCTGCATCAAACAAGCAGTATGAGGTTGTAAATTATAAATCACCCTCCTGTGTAGTTCGTTGGAGGAAATGCTTTTATATTTCTGGACAAAGGAATATGAAATATAACAAACCCTCACGGCAGTGTTACAACACATTAATGATTAAAGATAATTGTTTAATTTTATTATTATTATTGCCCTTTAGTTAGTTTCACTAAATATTTACCCCACTTAAGTGAGAGTAGTTTGCATTAGTCAAACTAACATTCACACATATTTTAAAACCTTCCCTTAACACTGATAGCTACAACTCGAAGGCTAAATTTTGCTAAATGAGTTTACATCTTTATTTTTTGAAAACTTTTCTTCAAACAAACAAACCTCCTCTAAGACTTGGTCCTCTCTCCAGTTTCCAGCCTTCGCTTTAGATTGGTAACATCTGAACTGAGCCATTTCGAGCATTATGAGAACTACTCAGTGAGTTAGCTTAGAAAGCTACGATACAAAACCGTCTACACAAGGTTACATGAGCGCGTGGTTTAGGTGATGGTTTCTATGGTAACGGAATTCATCGCGGGACGGCTTCGTACATGCGAAGCTCAATAATCAGGCTTCTACACCAAATTGTGCCTAAAGATATGTAAATGCTCCCACATCGATGGCGTACATGTACTCATTTGTATGAATTAGGAAATGTCTAGTGTATTAGCTTTAATTCTACAAGTTCAAATCAAGCTAGACGACTGTATCTTGGTTGCTATGGTAACGGAGTTCTCGCCAGTTCGAGAAGGGGGTCTCTGCAGACCAAAAGTGGGCGTTTCTGGCGAATAGGCGTTTATGGGCGGCGAACACTGATTGGCTAACAGTATTTAATAGGCGTTTGTCGGCGGCGAACACTGATTGGCTGTGGGTAACCCTCAAAGTCACGAGGATTATTGATGAGGTAACGTTTCTTTGCGATGTTTGACAAAGAAATATGATTTATTGTACTTATAAAGCATGTTATGTTTTCACTTATGCATTTTATTGAAGTACGTTTATTGTAGGTCACGATAGTTTGGACCGTTCTCTCGTTGCTTTCGTAACACACTGAGGTAAAGTGAGCCTCCACAGCAGCTCTCACTGTGCACGTTTACAACAACTGGGTGTTGCTTTTCAAAATAAAAGCTGAAAATAAAAGTTCTTAATACTTAAAAAAATAAATATTTTAAAGCTGTGTATAACTGAAAAATATGAAAAATAAATAAATAAAAGTTGTTATTAGCTGAAAAATAAATAAATAAAAGCTGTTAATTATATCGATGTCTTTCTGCCATGTCAGGGACCTCTCTCACTTCAGACTGACTCTAGAGAAGACCCCAAGATGTTGCCCAACAATGTTGACCAACATCTGATGTTGACTTTCAAAATAAATCACCTCTAAAGTTTAACATAGTTCATAATAATAGCCAAAAGTTGCTGACCTTGTTGCAACGTGAGTTAACACAAACATGAGTGTAAATTGTCAATGATTCAATAATGAGTAATAACTTATTCAATAAAAAAGTCTGTAATTTGTCAATAATAGTCAATAATTCATTCAAGAATAGATTATGGGTGTTTGGTATGGCTCAGTGGCTAAAATGGGTTGGATGTTAGAGAAATTACTTAATTTTCAATTACCTGAATGCACAAATTCCTTCATTTATAGTTAAACTTTAGGAAATCAACTTTTTTTTTCCTTGTGAAAAAAATATTAAAATTAACTTTAAAATCCAATCCAGGATTAAGTAACAACTAGCAACACCCTAACTGTACTATGTTCTGTGTTTCCAACAGATGCTACGATGACTTCTACAAATGGATGTCCCAATAAACACAATAAAAAAATTCAATGATGCATCAAATGTTGTCTGAGTATGTTTTAAGGTAATAACAAATGTGAAATCTGAAAAACAAAGAGAATTCCTGAATCTGTCTTGTGTGCTTTGATGTGTACATAAGTTTATTGGAGGTCCTGAAACAACTTTTCTGAGAACACAAAGATTTTTATTTTACCTTTGGCCAAGATGTCAGTTTGAAATCAGGCTGCTTACTGCAAAACCAAAAGGTTTTTTAAGACGGTCTTCATTTGTATTGTTTTGTCAACTAAGCTAAATGTAATTTCTAAAATATGGATAAATCTGATCTCATCATGCAGCATGAGCAACTGGGTATAGGTGTGAGGGCCAAAAGTCTGGTTATGTACTGACTCCTAAATGTGCTTGTTTTCTACTGAAACATGGAGTATGGTTGACCTTTAAAATGTGAGACAGCTGAGGAAGTTAACCAGTAAACAGAATACCTGCTCCAGGTGCAGAAATCTTACAGAAACTGACAATCACTCATCTGTAGTGACTGCAGGTTGAACAAGACAATGTGAAGTTAAAGGAAACATCCTTTGTCCCAAGGCCACTTTAAGTATCATTAATATTTTTCTTTCTTTATGAATCGATTGTAACTTTGTTCACATTTTTCAACAACCAAAATGGAATTTGTTTTTTAATGTTATGGCTAGGTATTAAAAAAAAAAACCCTAACATTTAGCTCCCCCATTACCCAGTTATGTTGCTCTTATTTTGAAATGTAACCGGAAGTTCTGTGTTAAGAGAGGCGGAAAAAGAAGTTACGGAGACGCCGCGGCAGTATACTGGAGCAATGTCGAACCGAGACGCCGCCAGTGTTGAACCTGAGACGCCGCTAATGTCGAACCGGTTAACACCATAGACATAATATGCCTGTGGTTAACACAATCTGCCAATAACACCTTGTTTTTAGACATAATGTGTCTGTGGTTACGGCATTTTATCGTTCAGCCTTTTTTTCTATCGTCCAATCAGATGTGGCCGTCCAGACACGCCCATTTTTCTATCGTCCAATCAGATGTGGCCGTCCAGACACGCCCATTTTTCTATCGTCCAATCAGATCCGGCCGGCCAGAAACGCTTATTTTCCTATCGTCCAATCAGATATGACCGCTCAGATACGCCCACTTTCCTATAGTCCAATCAGATATGAGCGCCCAGATACGCCTTCCGAATTTGCCTGCAGAGACCCCTTTTTGGCCAGTTCTGCCAAATTCTCGCGAGATCAACCGCCACTACCGTGCTGCTCAGTGTTGCCAGGTGTACGATATTTATCGTATTTGAACAATTTTGCCCTCTGTACGATCAATAATCCCAAAAAAGACCAAATATACGATAATTTGACCATTCCGTGAATGTGTGGTTGTAATCAGTTGTCATCGGCCTGTCGCAACTGTCTGTCAGATTTTTTTTCTGAACCCTGAAGGCATCTAAATGTTACCTACGAGTGACGTTTACCTCAGAACAACGGCCATGATTGGCTGAATAGTCTGCTGCGCCCGCCCCATGAGTGAGGAAAAGAAAAAACGAAAAGCAGCAGCAGAGCCGGACTGGAAGCGGACCCATCAGTACTATAGTGCAATAGATTTATTTTGGTACGATAATTTCCCTTAAAATACGATAATTTTATGTCGCTAGTACGATAATCCTACATTTATCACCTGGCAACACTGGTGCTGTTCCACAACCCAGAGAAGACCAGATGACATGATTTAACCTTTTTTCTTGTTATCTACCTGGATGACTTGAGTTTATAAACCTTTTTGCTGAGCAAAGATATAAATGCAGCACTTTTGTTTTTGCTCCCATTTTTCATGAGCCGAACTCAGATATCCAAGACTTTTTCTATGACCTTTTTCTCTCAAATACAAATTTATGTAAATCTGTGTGAGCCCTTCTCCTTTGCTGACATATTCCATCTCACAGGTGTGGCATATCAGTACGACCACTTTTTGCTTCATGCATTGCAACACGTCTCCATAAGAGTTGATCAGGTCGTTGACTGCGGCCTTTGAAATGTTGGTCCACTTCAAGGGTTGTGTGAAGTTGCTGGATATTGTCAGGAACTGGAACACGCCCTCGTAGAGCATCCCACACGCGACACGTCCATTATGCTGGCCATGCAAGAACTGGGATGTCTTCAGCGTCCAGGAATTGCGTGCATATCCTTGCAATATGGGGCTATTAAGGCAGAGTTAGAGGTTTGATTTCACCAGCACGTTAAGTGTCCCTGGGCAAGACACTGAACCATGCCTCCAATATTAATGTGATCTAAAGCATAGAATGATTTGTTCAGATTAGCTTTGTTGAGCTGCAAGAGTGCTGTATGTGTGTGTGAATGGCTTAATGATGCGTAGATTTTGTAAGTGCTTCAGTATCTTGATTAGATAGAAAATAACTATACAAGTAGTCTGCTTTTGATGCTGCAACATGAGGTGAGGGCCGAGGATAAATGGCACAATGGGCCTCAGGACCATGTCACAGTATCTTGGTGCATTCACAGTTGCATCAATAATATGCACTTGTCTTTCATAACGTACACCTGTCACCATAACCCCACCATCACCATGGGCCACTCGATTCACAGTGGTGACGAGCAAACCGCTCACCCACACAATGCCACACACACACACCGTCTGCCATATGCCATGTACAGTGAAAACCAGAATACATCCATGAAGAGAATGCTTCTCCAACACGCAGGACGCCACTGAACGTGAGCATTTGCCCACTCAAGTCAGTTACAACAAACTGCAGTCATGTGGAGACCCTGATGAGGACGACGAGCATGCAGATGAACGTCCCTGAGACAGTTTCTGATAGTTTGGGCAGAAATGATTTGGTTATGCAAACTGAATGTTGCAGCAGCTGTCCGGGTGGCTGGTCTCAGACGATCTTGTAGGTGAAGATGTTGGATGTGGAGGTCCTGGGCTGCTGTAGTTACACATGGTCAGCGGCTGAGAGATCGAATGGATGTATTGCCAAATTCTCTGAAACACCTTTGGAGATGGCCTTTGGAAGAGAAATGCACATTCAGTTGATGGGCAACAGCTCTGCTCTGCAGGCAGCATGCGCAGCACCTGCTCCCTCAAAACCTGCAACATCTGTGGCATTGTGCTGAGATAAAACTGCACATTTTAGAGTGGCCTTTTACTGTGGTCAGCCTAAGGCACACCTGTGTAAAAATCATGCTGCCTAATCAGCATCTTGATCAGCCACACCTGTGAGGTGGATGGATTACCTCAGTAAGGGCTCACCAACACAGATTTACACACATTTGTGAACAGTATTTGAAAGAAAAAGGCCTATTGCGTACATAGACAAAGTCTTAGATCAAGTTCAGCTCATGAAAACAAAAAAGCAAACACAAAAGTGTTGCGTTTATATTTTTGTTCATTGTACATATAATTGGGTACCCATAAAAATAAAAATAAAATCTGTTGAAGAGCTTTGTTGCTATTGAAGAGCTCATCTTACATTTGAATTGGGACTAAGAATAAAACCACACTGTTCAGTTTTGTTCACAGTTCCTTCAAAATACGCAGGTTTTTTTTTTTTTTTTACTTGATGAACAATTAGATTTTAACAGCTTCACTCCAAATGGGTAATGTCCATCTGTCTGCCGCTGACTGTTTTTTTGTCTGTTTCCATCTGTATGCATCAGTGACCATTGGCTCGGCCTTTGGCATCAAAGCCATTCATATGACTCAGTTTGTGGTTTTGTTCTTTTGGTGGGTCACTGTCATCCTCCTCTTCGTCACTCCGGAGATCGCCTTCAAGCTGCAGAATGAGAAAGAGCCACAGAATGGACTTGGGGCACTATGAGAATGAGGCTAAATGGAAACAACAGTTGGAGCTCCTTATCAAACACCTTTGAACGCACCTGGCTGAAGAGGAACTTATAAACCATCCGTGATATTAAAAAAGCCCAGTAGATGTGGAGAATCTGTAGAACCAACAACATGACGTTGAAGAAATAGTAGCCAAAGAAGGGCGGAAATTCCTCGACTGGGTACACCCACGTACAGTGAATAAGCCTACAGAAGATAACACACATTTATCAGACACGACAAGTCATAAAGCATTATACTACATTCTCTTGCTTATGCATTTATTGTACTTACCAGAATGGAAAAAAAACAAGTCTTGTACCCATAAATAGAACTGAAAATACCACAAAAATGGCATTAGCAGTCTGATGCCACTTGGCGTAGTTAAAAACCTTTGCACACTGAAAAACACACAAGAGCCAAGTTCAGTTTTTCCCCTTTAAAAATGCTTAAGACAGCTACAGGCAGAAAAATATACTGATAGAGTAATAATACAACAGAAAACACAAGTATGATTAGTTATACCATGTGAATATACTGCAAGTGTCTTTTCTCCCTGGGTTTCATGCAGCAAACTTAGTGTTTGACATAAAATTTATTTATTCTTCTAGACTTTCTGTCTCTGGAGTCATGCCCGCACTGGGTCCTCCATTACCCAGACTGCATCTCTGATATACAGTATAGTGATAAAAAATACATGTACAGTAGTCCCTCGCTACTTCGCGGTTCAACTTTTGCGGACTTGCTCTTTTATGGTTTTTCAACAATCGTCAACTTTAATATTAATCACGAGATAAAAAGTTAATGAAAAAAAACTTCTGACAGGCACAGCCATTTTGTAGTCTTTTTTCAATAAGCCTACAGTGTAACACCAGTCAAAAGAACTACACTACCCAAAAGCCAACAGTGCTTCCGGCTGCTACTTTCTGTTGAAATGGAGGGAAAATTTTGAAACGTAAAGTCAGAAGTAACGATCTATCTATGAAGCTCACAGAACTGGCAGGAAAGTCTCAAATAATCCTGAAGCTCAATTATCTGCACGCACATCAACCTGGACAGGGCGGTGGGCTTCGTCGCTGCAGGGTAGGTCTGCAGAACCGGAACCGAGCCCGATCAGAACCGAGCTGCTAGTCTGCAGAGCTGGTGAGTAAAATTTTGCAGTACGGTACAGTACATGTGTCTTGTTAAAATGACACAGGTTTAAGAGTTTAGAACATTGCAAGAATGTGGGAAGTGTTATAAAACCTTAAATATATGTAAATACTAAAATAAATATAGCGTTCCTACTTTGCGTTTTTCCACCTATCACGGTGGTGTTTGGAACGTAACCCCTGTGAAAATCGAGGGACTACTGTAAAACAAAAAGTAAATCTGCTTAAAAAAAAAACTTTTTTTGTAATAAGTGGTTTCCAAAGTTAAGGTTTTGAACCCACTGTGGGTTGTGAAATACAAAGAGTGTGGTCTTGAACTGATTTACAGCGATCAAACTTAAAGTAATCATAGTAAGGATGTTTTAGCCATAATATTAGAAGATATATACAACAATCACAAATAGATATAAATAGTATAATGGTTGTTAAAGCTGTTATCTGCTGCTGTTCTGCCCTTGTTTGATGGTTATTGATATTTGTCCACTTGAACGAGTGAGTGATAAGACAAGGTAAGAAATCACTGGCTTTGTTATTTTATGAGTAGGAAGCTAAAGAGATCATAAATTAATGCTTAGATGATCCACTGCATCTAGTTTTGTTGGTGAAAATATGCAGCTCCTTTTCCATAAATGTGTCTAGAACTGTGCACATCTATACTGCACTTGTATTGTTTAAGTGGTGCCTTTTGCAGTTTTAGCATCGTTTTTCTCAACTTCTAACAACGCTAGTTACTCTCCTCACTCTGAGCAACACATTTTCCATTTCAGAAGCACTGACATCACATGTACCTCATGTGTGCTTTTTCCTTTTACAATGGCACTTTGCATGACCATTAACAATTTACTTCCTACATTGTGAGAAAAATCATCCAAAACATCTCCCTTTAAGTGTGTGCCCAGTTGAACCACCATCCTGACCTCCTCCATTTCAGTGTTTTCTCTGGCTCCACTGTCTAAACTTATCAACTTGATCACAACATTAAGATGGGCAGTAGACTGACCAGAAAACACCAACAGCCAGTGATGGAACTGCACAGTTCTAGCAAGTTACCCAGCACGCTTAAAAAAAAACAACTGGCCTCTGGACAGAGGTTCTGTACTGCCAGAACAAAAACCAGCAGACGCATAAATATTTTATATTTTTCCTCACTAAGTTCTCCCTTCTTACTTTTCTTTCTCCTGCACTTGAGCAGGAAAAAATAATCCTGTTTACAGATCTCTGTACATTTGGCAAAACAAATGAGTGTGAGATTAATGTCAACAAAATGACAAGAATTATAGGCCTCGTCTTTAAACCTGAAGATATCTGTTTTTAAAACTGCAAATTACAAATGAGTGCATTGTCAACTTTGCCTGATGGCTCACAGAAATGTTATAATATTTAAAAAAATGTGTTAGAAGAGCACTGACCTCCAGCAGTACATCGGTAGAGTCGTGGACTATAATCACGAGGGTTCCAATACGAATAAAGTTGGAAATCCAGGAGAAGCTCAGCAGAGTCAGCGTAGCTATATGATGAATCACCTGCTCTTTAAAGTCCTAGAAACGTGCACATGACAGGTTAACACTATCCCTTTGGTCACAGTAGGTCTCATTTAATATTTAATTCATACATTTTTGTAAAACCAACAACTTGTCAATAAAATAAAATTTCATTAACAAATAGGAAGTGTTGGAGAAATTCATTCACTGGCGTTGTTTGCTCAGGCAAACATTTTTAACCATTTTTTTTTATTCAACCTTTATTTAGACAGATAAGTCACATTGAGCCTCGAAGACTTATTTACAAGTGAGACCTGTTTAGACAGACAAAAAAGTAATGATAAGATGGTCTCAAGCATGTGTGGCAGCAATCAGGTGAGGAGTACAAAGATAAGTGTGTGATGCCTACAGTCAAGCATGGTGGTGGGAATGCCATGGTCTGGGGCTGCATGAGTGCAGCAGGAGTTGGGGAGTTACATTTCATTGAGGGACACATGAACTCCAATATGTACTGTGAAATACTGAAGAAGAGCATAATCCCCCTCCCTCTGGAAACTGGGTCGCAGGGCAATGTTCCAGCATGATCAGAATCAGAATCAGAATCAGTTTATTATCGCCATGTCAATGAACGAGGTTCACAAACTAGGAATTTGCTTCGACATAAGGTGCGAATAGTAGTAAAGTAAAATAAAGTAAAAATAAAGTAAAAATTAAGTAAAAATGAGAACATTACATAAGACATAAGCCTGTGTACACCCACGAATAAAGTAAAATTAAAACCATAACATAACCATATGTACACCCATACAAACCCCAAACACACCTCTAAGACGACCACTGCTTTAATGAAGAGGCTGAGGGTAAAGGTGATGGACTGGCCAAGCATGTCTCCAGACCTAAACCCAATAGAACATCTTTGGGGCATCCTCAAGCGGAAGGCGGAGGAGCACAAAGTCTCAAATATCCGCTAGCTCCGTGATGTCATCATGGAGGAGTGGAAAAGCATTCCAGTGGCAACCAGTGAAGCTCTGGTGAACTCCATGCCCAGGACAGTTAAGGCAGTTCTGGTAAATACTGGTGACCACACAACATATCGAGACTTCAGGAACTTTCACTAAGGGGTGTACTCACTTTTGTTGCCAGTGGTTTAGACATTAATGGCCGTGTACAGAGTTATTTTGAGGGAAGAATAAATTTACACTGCTTTATAAGCTGCACACAGACCACTTTTCATTGTGTCAAAGTGTCATTTTATCAGTGTTGTCCCATGAAAAGATATACTTAAATATCTGCAGCGATGTGAGGGGTGTACTCACTTTTGTGATACACTGTACATAACATAAATAAGCATACATAGAAGTATACGCATGAAAACCAGTCAGAAAAAAGCCACAAGCCACATTATCTGTTGCTTTTATACACCCCCCCCCCCCCCCCAGCTCAGAGTTCAAAATAGTTCAGGGGGCGTCCATCTTGAAGCCAGCTGCAGTTTTCTTACACAGTACACTTCATGTACCCAAACATATGGTTCATGGGCAAAGATAAGATAATGTTTTGAGCTGATCGTTCTCAGTGCAGAGGGGAAAAATGTTTGCAGCCATAATAATAAAAACATCCATAACCTCTGACCAAAAACTCCCTGACAGTAAGTTATAAAGATTTTTTTAAACGATAAAAGTTCAAATTATTTAAAAGCAAATAGTGTAACACATGTGCACTTACTTTGCGTTTGACATCAAATGTGAGGCTGAAGAGCAGGGAAAGGTAGAAGCCCGTTTCTAAGAGGTAATACCAGTACTGCGATGGCAGCATAGACTGTGTGGACATGTGACAAACACAAAGATGTGTTCATGTATTGTCCTACATGCATTATTACACAATCTATTTTATTCACAAAGGTAGTGCCACTCACCTGTTTTGGAAATCCTGCCCAAACCTCCTTTAGATTATAAAGCCAAGGTTTCTAAAGCCAACAATGGCAGAAAAGGAGAGAATAAAAATGAGATTTTAAACAAAAACCGTAAGTAACCGTTGTCAAGGTGTCTGAGAGCTCATGTGTCTCTGTGTACCAAATTTCTATGGGCTCCTCACAATAGAGGAGCAAAGAGAATGAAAAGAAAACAAGGTCATAATATCCTTACATCATAAAGGGCCCAGATTCCTCCAAGAAATGCAAAGAGATAAAAAAAGCCTCTCCAGCTGTTGAACCACAAAGACCTTAATGTCACACACTTACACAAACACACGTGTTCTTACATATGGTGCAAAATATAAACACAGGAATGCACACACCTGGCCTCACAGAACCTCTTCTGCAGCCCTGGTCGATCTTGGTTCCTTCTCCTCCTGAACCACACTTCGACTCTCCTCTGAGGCCAGTTGGTCTTCTTACACAGAGCGCGAACATCCATCTGACACACACAAACAATCCAGCTGTTACATTCTCTCCAAATACGACTTAAATACTGGCATTAGGTTTTTGTATCCAACGAGTACTTTTCAACAACAGTAGGTGTTTTTGGACTGAATGGGATTAGTTCTCAGTTATAACAAGTTTACTTTTTTGGTTTTCACACTGGCAGTAATGTGCAAGTTTGTGGTCCTTTTAAAATTTGAAGCTCTTGCACAAATGTTCTAATCCAGGGGTCTTCAACTTTTTCAGTTTGGGACCCCCAAACTGATGGAGAAA